TTCCTAGCTCGTCATGTTACATACCTAGTCCGCAGGGTTTTATACCATATGGAGGTGCATATACGACTATGTTTAATGAACCAACATATGGTTCATATGCATCTTATTTGGCTGGTGGTGCTTCTCCGCAGACACCTCAATCTCCATCTGGATCACAGACATCGATGCCAATGTTTCCACAGTTTTCACAGTTCCCGGGGAGCGGTGGGATTGTTACTAGCACTCCTTCAGGGTCGTTATTTTATACAGGCCCTTTAGCCCATTCAGCGTCATCTACACCAAATGAAGAAAATGCTGCTGATGATGATAGTGAAGATGAGGAGACTGAAGAACAAGTTCCACGAAGAAATCCTCCACGAAATAGACAACCACCACCATGTGGAACTCATTCGAGAAGACGACATCAGTGATCCAGTTGTATTTTAATGTTATTTAAATAGTTATATTTCAGAATTTTATGTAATTTGGTTATGTTATTTAAATGTTTCATGATTGTTACATACATATTTTTAATGTTATTTTTTATTCACATTTAACATTAAATGTTTGATAAATGTTTTTAAAATACAAATTATATTATTCGAAATTTAAAATAAAAATAAAAATAATATTATTCGAAATTTAAATTTAAAATATAAATTATAGTATTCAAAATTTAACATTAAATTTCAACTTAATATTCCAATTGTATTCGAAATTAAAAGTTATATTCCAATTATAGTTCACAATACTTAAATTGAAATTAAATTTATCCATACATATGATTTTATCATTAATATATATATTAAAACGTATACATTAAAATCAACTTATCACTTCACATTTATTCGTAAAAACATCTCGATGCTTATTCCATACAATTTCAATGTCACAATCAACTTATCACTTCACATTTATTCAATTTATCCATAACATTTTATCTAATTTATTCAAACTTCACATAATGTTTTAATTTAAGCTATGAACTTAAATTAATCTATATGTATAATTTATTCTTAACTTGCTGAACTTTCAAAAGAAGTTAAATTTTGGTTATAATTTACCTGATTTCACAATCCATCTAGTGTCCCCGAGGGATATGAATGACATAATAGGGCAATGATAACATATTCTCTGACAAAATAATGGAAGGCGCGCCCCCGGGAACGCGCCTTCAAGTCCCCTGAGAAATAATAGGTACTGATATGAATATTGTCCCCGAGGGACATGAGTGAGATAATAGGGCAATGATAACATATTCTCTGACAAAATAATGGAAGATGCGCCCCCGGGAACGCGCCTTCATGTGAATAGTACTCTGATTATAGACATTATTATATGCAACGTATTATAAACTTTCAAAACAAACTTCAGTTCACAAGCTTTCAAATTCTCAAATTCCCAAACTCTAAATTCTCAAATTCTCTGAAAATGAGTTGTCTTTCTGCTGTTGTTTTGTATAATGGAGAAATTAAGGAAGCTGAAGAGGAGATTGTTTTTGAGTCAGATCATTATATCCCTTTAACCTTGAAGAGAAACATCACAATTGAGGAGTTAATCACAAAAAATTCGTTAAGGATTCGTATAGCAGGCCAGAGAAGACTATCTTCACTTCAGTACATATTTCCTACTGAACTTTTTCCGCTCACGTATACATCATTTCAGCTTTCAAACGATGATGATGTTTCTATGATGGTTGATGCTCATATGGGGAGTTCACAATCTCTTATTGAAATGTATGACACTTTTATTGAGGTTTGTGCAACTCGTGGTCTCTCATATTCCTCTCACTTTGGCATTGCATATGAAGCTGATCAAGTTGATAGCCCGACACAACTGATCTGTAATGATTTCACATCATTAATGGCGGATCCAACGCCAGATACCATGCCATCAAGTTCAATAGGAATGCATTCATCTGCAACTGCTTATGATCTCAACCCACGTGGCTTCACCAATAATCCATATGGCAACATCTCTTCTACTTCAAGGGGCAGACATTCATCTGGCAATGTTTTCGACTTACATATGGAAATGCCAACGAGACGACAGTCTATTCATATCCCACATGATACAATGGCCTCAAGTTCAAGGGGAGGACACGCAAGCGGGAACTTATTTGACCTCAACATTGGATTATCGGAGGAACCCTCATCTCCACCAGAAGAACCTCTTCGGGAGCCAGGTGCAGATGGTGATGAAACGGGATTATTCGTTGAACCTGACTCACCACAGTTTAACATACATTCTGATGATGACAAGGATGACGTTCCGATAAATACAACACTAGCTGAACTTCTTGCACATATGTATGAGGCTGATTATGATGCAATGTATGAGCCTGAATTTCCAGATCTTCCTGATGTTGGCAACTATGGACTTTAATCATTAGTCAATGACGGCAATTTACATATTGGAATGGAGTTCGCATCGAAGGAGGAAGCAATGATGGCAATAAAGAGTTACAATATTCGTAACTCAGTTAAGTCCCGAGTTGATCGATCTAACACAGAAAAATATGTCTGCTACTGCGTCCAACGTGACAACGGATGTCAATGGATGGTCCGTGTATCAAAGAGGAAGAACAACTTATGGGAACTAACCAGATACAACAGTCCTCATACATGTTATGCAACAGGTATAAACCAGGATCATCCCAACTTGGACTCCAACATTATTTGCCAAGCAATCATGCCCATTGTGAAGCAAAGCTCTCATATAGCTGTTGCAGTGTTGATTTCTGCTATACAGTCACAATATGGGTACACTGTCTCATATAAAAAAGCGTGGTTGGCAAAACAGAATGCCATTTGCAAACTTCATAGCGAATAGGATTCCTCTTACAACGAGCTGTCCAGTTGGTTTCATGTTGTGCAAAGACTTAATCCCGGGACAATTGTTGAGTTCGAAACTCAACATCATTACGTGAATGATCGAATGGTTCGTGATCGCTGCCAATTTTACCGTGTCTTTTGGACTTACCCTCAGTGTATTAATGCAGTCAAGTACTGTAAACCAGTTGTCCAAATTGATGGTACTTTCTTGTATGGGAAATACAAGCAAGTTTTATTATTGGTTGTGGTCCAAGATGGAAACCGCAATATTCTTCCTGTTGCGTTTGCCCTCGTTCAAGGAGAAGACACTGAGTCTTGGGCTTTTTTCCTTAAAAATTTACGTTTACATGTTGTCACCAGGGAACGAGTATGCATTATTTCAGACCGAGGAGCCGGGATAAAAGCAGCAATTGACTCTTTGGGTACAATGTATAGACCTCCACATGTTCAACATCGTTATTGTGTCCGTCATATTACTGCAAACTATTACGGAAAATACAAGAAGAACGATGAACGTTAGTTAGTCGTGCGGATGGGTATGTTACTTTTTCCCAATTTTTCTATAAATTTCTTATTACTTATTAATACTTGGTATTAACTATTACATATTCCTAATGGCTTAGGTTACGAACTCTTACCTCAAAGGTTTGAGTCGATGCTACAAGAGCTGTTTGGCAAAAATAAGAAGGGGTGCGAGTACATTATGGACATCAGCAAAGAAATGTGGACAAATGCATATGACGGGGGGTATCGCTATGGTCATATGACAACAAACTTGGCTGAAGCAATAAATTCAACCTTAAAGGGGGCGCGTCATTTACCAGTCACGGCATTGGTTAAAACGACTTATTTTCGTTTAAGTCAACTCTTTGCAAAGCTCGGTGGACAAGATCTTACTTGGATGCAAAACGGTCATATTTACCACCCAAGACTAGTAGTTGATTTACAGAAAAAAGTGGCTGCATCAAATGGGATGTTAGTTACAAATTTTTCTCGCACCCGTGAATTGTTTCGTGTAACCGAAATGCCACGTCCGCTGCAAGGGATTGGAGCTAACTCTTTCAGAGTTAATCTGCAAGAGAGGTGGTGCGATTGTAGTTTCTTTCAAGCACTCAAATATCCATGCTCTCATGTCATTGCAGCTTGCTCACATTCGCATTTGGACTACAAAAATTATGTTGATCCCGTATACCAACTTTCACAAGTATTCAAGGTATATGAATTTGAGTTTCCGCCCATAGGAAAGGAAAGAGACCCAAATGAGATTCAAACTTGGCTTACAATTGTACCAGATTCATTTCTATTGAGGGACTCAGGTCGTCCAAAATCTACTAGAATACATTGTGATATGGATATTCGGGAGAAGTCAACAGAACAAAAACGATGTGGGCATTGTAGAAACATCGGACACAATAGAAAAAAATGTCCAGCTCTGTTATCATCATATAACCGTTAACTCTTATGTAATTAATATTGTATTTAAATGAATGTTTTTGTTTCTAATAATTTAATGTTATTGCATTTATATAATTTGTCAATGTATGTACACCTAAATAATTTTTTTTAACTTTTAAATACATAAATATTTTTATATTTATTTAATATAATAATTAATATTATTAGTTATAAATTTTTTAAAATATAATAATAATTCCACCTTCTAAGTAGAGAAAAATATTAAATTAAACAAATTAAAAGTTATTAAAAAATTTATGTATACAATGACATATTTCATGTTCTGATTGGAGGATTAAATTTATTAAATTAAATTTTCAATAAGACTAATTTCATAAAATATGTATGTCTTGAAGATTAAATATGTAATTATACTAATTTATTAACTTATGCATCAATATTTTCGTTAAATATTGATAAGAGATGACTAGATTGATAACATTTAAATAATTAACTGATAAAATTAATAGATCGATAATCAAAATCAAAAATAATAATATAACCATATGTGTTATATTATAATTTCATACATTTTTCCTATAACTACAATAAAATCAAAACTGGTTTTCATATATTGTTCTATCATATTAATGTAGATAATTCACTCTACTTTTAACACACATTAACAAAATACATTTGATAATTCTTACATTATAATCGAAACACTTTACATAATATATTACTAATTTATAATAATAATAAAAATAAAATATTTATTATTAAACAAAATACGTGGAAGTCGAGCTGGTGAAAGGCGCATCCCCGGGGATGCACTTTCCACACGTGACATCTAAATCAGCGAAAACACGGATAAAACGCGTCCCCAAGGACGCGCCTTTCACCAACTCAACCGAAAAGATGCCAATTCGAAAAATATATATTAAACGGTACTAAAAAGGTAAATAATCGTTAAATATATGTCAGTCAAATCACCTCTTTATTGTTGCATGTTGTCACCTGAAAAAGATTAATCGCATGACTTGTTGCTACATGCTAATCATTTTTCACAATATTTTTTTTTCATCCAATCATCGCATGTTCGTTGTTGTTACTTCCGCCGGAACCAAAACTGAGTAACCTGAATCGCCGCTCGTCGCCTGATCTTCTATTATTTAAGGGGATTTGGATTATTTTAGAAATTAAAAAAAAAAAAAATTTAAAATTTAGTGTATTTTATTTTTAAAAATTTAATGTTAATCAGAAATTAATGTCACGTATCAACTAACTATTAGTTGATAGATTTTTTAACGGTTGTTGACATAATGATCTTAAAATTAATACATGATGAAACTTTAAACATTTTAATTGATAATCAAATAAATGTTAAATACAAAGTTTTTAAAAAAACTTTAAGTATATAAAACAAATAAAATATACCAACGAGATTGATTCAAGTGATAAGCAATTTGATGTCGCTTAAGCATGTCTCGAGTTTGAGTTTTTATGTATGCAGAAAATTCTCGTTGAGAGACTCACCCACCAAAACCATATGTATGACTTGTGTCGGTCTGGATTTATCAAGACAAAGCCTTGGGAATAGGAAGGACAAAAAAATGAAACAAACAAATAAAAGATATAATTTGAGTAATTATTTTTAATTAAACTTTTGAATAATAATAATAATATTTAAAAAATTATTACTATGTCAACAATATTTAGAGTAAGTGATTAAAAACTCTCAATTTACACTTTTCCTCTCCTCTCTCTAGAGTTGAGTTTAATACTCATTAGGAACAAAATTCTTATTCTCTCTCCCCTAGGGAGAAATTATTCAAAAAAAAAATTATGTTATACCAATAACTAATTTGTCTAGTGGAGGAGGCACTAAAATCCTAAAGCAATATGAAGTACAAAATATAGTGTTTATGAATGAAGTAAGTTAGGTTAGGAGAACCACCTCATAAAATTTAATATTAATTAATCGATCGATAAATCAAATATTAATTATTAATAAAAAAATTGCGTGTTATTTGTTTACTCTTGAGTTTATAAACTAGCATTTTTATAAATTCCGAAAGCTGGCGCAATCGCTACTTTTGACCATTGACTGAGAAGCACGCTCGCAGCATCTTTTTCTAATACAAATATATTGGTCGATGATTTCGGTGACGCACGTGCATCAACTGCCTTCCCCGACAATATATATATCATAATGATAATAATAACCAATGTTTTTTTACCCTCTCTTTTCCTTTAAAAAGTTTAATTGGTGAGAAACGTAACTTACCTGTAACTAAGCTGTAAAAACGGATCTACTTGATTGAAATACTTAAATCTCTTCTTTTCTATTTGGATTCACATTCTTTTATGGCTTTCAACTTGGAATCATTTCACACTTTCATCTCAAGCTTTCATATATATATATATATATATATACCACTTGCCATTGTTTTTTTTTTTGCATTCAACAATAAATAAATTTGAATCTTAACTTTCTTTTAATTTATGTTTTGGTGGGGGACGGACGGATGTAAATAGGATTTAGGATTCTAAAATCTAATTTTTTTATTAATTAATTTTTTTATTAATTATATCATCTTAAAATTTTATTTGTGTATATTCATAAATAAAAATTTTGTGTTATTAATATATATGTTCATTCTAGTTTTTTTTGAATCCGTCACGAAGATGATTCTTTTGTATCTTAAGTTTGATTTTAGTTTATGCTTTTGGTGGGGTTTATTGTTGTTTGCTAATGGAAAAGTTAAAACATAGTTTTTGGGATAACAAAAGGGTAAAAGTGAAAGAATGCTATCAAATATACTACACAATTGACATATTCTATTTTATCAACAACCATATTTTATAGACGTTAAATATATATTTATTCTCATTATCAAATATATATATATATATATATATATATAATCTCGTCATGTATTTATTTATTTTATTTATTAATATTTTTTTGATTAAGTTAAGGGTGATTACGAAGTAGTATATGTTCTAAGTACTTTCAATCATTTGATAATGAACGCTCAATCACCCTTACAGTCGTTGGTGCTCGAACTCATGACCTCTAGGAATAACAATGATTCTAATAAATTGAAAGAATATTTCGACAAATTACTTAGATTCGCAAACAAAGTAAGATTATTTGATTTTATATTAATTAAAAAAATTATTGTAATTGTTACTGAAAAGTTTAAAGCTACAACTATAACGCACTAAAGATTTATGAAAGATTAGTTTGAGAGAATTAACGAATGTTTTACAATAGAATAAAATGATTAGTTTGCCTCGTAAGGCACCATTGTAATGCTTAAAGTTACACTATGCCCTGTGCATGCTAGTGTTTTTACCATAATCTTCTTCCCGATTGCGCCGTTAGTAAAACAAAGTATAAGCAAACATTCAGAGTCCAACCATTTATCTACTACTACTGCTATGTCCTGATTTATGCTGCTTCTTTTGCAGTGCAGGTTGAACCACGGAGAAAATGGACGTCTTTTGTTTCTTTTGTTTCGTACCAAAGATAAATGACCTCAATGGCACGTTCGAACGAACTTCCAACGGGCCGCCTTGATGGCTCTTCGGACCCGATAGTCCCCAATCGTCACTCAACTTCGTCAGTGCTCTATCTGCATCACGCTGCAACGATAACGCCAGGTCTAATCCGACTTGCAATTCGTCGCCCACCCTCTTGTTCTCTTGCTTCATGTTCAGTATTTCGCCTTGGAACTTGGCCGCCTGGTAACTTGTGAACCGGATCTCGTCGTCTTCGGCACTAGCTTTCAATGCCTTGGTGATCTCTTCTTGGATTTCGCATAAAGAAGCCGACCTGTTCTTCAGCTCCTCTTTCAGTGACTCGGCTTTATCAATCCACAGATTCAGTTCGGTCTGCATTTCTCTCAAGTGCTTATACAATGGTCGAACGTCTGATTTTACCGAGTATTTCGAGGTGCTACTTCCCTCACTCCTTTGCCTTTCCTCTAGTTTTAATACCTCGGCCTCTAAATCTTTAACCCCAGATTGGTACTTTTGTACTTCGTATAATGTCGAGCTGAATCTGTACCAGAAATCCAAGTTCTCTTCTAGCAGTTCGTCAAGGTCGGTTCTAAACTTTTCTTCGGTGGCGGATATAGGTTCGGACTCGTTAACTGGCTTTGGGATCAATTCTTCTTCGACTTCTTCAACTTGTTTCTTAACCGGAGGATCTATTGATTTTGTTTCATGACATTCTAGGAATTCATCAGCTCCTTCATACTTGGACTTACCAATACCGGTCTGGCCTCGGCATGCTTTCAAACGTAAAGATCGAATCTGTTCGTCTTTCTTGGCGATAAGGTCCTTCAATTCTTTTAACTCCAATGTTATCTCGAACAGTTCGTTCTGATGATTCGTTTTGAGTTCCATGAGCTGCTTCTTGGTTTCCTCCAATGCCTGAGACAATGCAGCTTCATTTTCTTTCGAATCAGATTTGGACACCGTGTTGGCTATAAGTGATGAAGCTTGCCCGACAATTTGAGCCATTGCTTTCGAATCAGAGGTTTTGGAAACCTTAGAAATCTCATCTCCTTCAATTGCGGCTTTCGGGACAGAATGTATTTCTTTAGAGGCATCAGCACTGTCAGTTGCAACATGTTCTTGAGACCTTTCAGACCTTGTCACTTTCGGCTCCAAAAACTCTTTCCCTGCTTTCTGCTTCAAAAACTCTTTCCCTGCTTTCGCTTTCTTCGGATTCTCTTTGGTTTCGTTCTTCCACAATGCGGATGAGCTTTTGAGATTCTCAACCGGCTGTACGTTCTGGGAAAGTTCATCAAGATTAGAATGTGCATCATTGAGACGAGATTGCATATTATTCGTCAGGTTTTCAACACTATGGTTCAAATCCCGAATTGCTCGCCACTTAAGCTCCAAGTCGATCATCTTCCCCTTCAAATCCTGCTTTCCATCGACCAGGTTCGCCTTACCATCTTCCAGGCTCTGTGTAAGGGCTTGAAATTCATCATTTTCCCATTTTAATCTCTGAAGTAGAGCTGCCTGAGACAAATTTGTAGTTTCTAAGCTCGTCACCTTATTCACCAATACATCAATCTTGTCCGCCACATCTGCCACGGAATCAGTATCGCCAGCCTCCGACTCCATATTGTCCTCCTGCTTTTCTACAATGTTATGCACGTTCGCTTCTCTTTTTTTCGCCCTTTTTTCTGCGATCCTTGTTAATTCCGCGGCAGATTCAATCGAAAGGAACAATTTCTTCAAAGCATCCACCTTCTCCCTTGATACTTTGGTCCTCTTTCGCTCTACTTCGAACTCTACTGCTGATCTCTCCTGTGCCTGTTTCAGCTGATCCAATGTCTCTTTGCACGATTTCAAGGCTGTCGCCGCCATTATATTCCGAGCATCGTCATCTTCGATCACCTTACTTTCACCGAATTCATCTTGCAAACTATTAACCTTCACTTGCAGTTCTTTTATCTCATTCTCAACTTCCCTGTACTTAGCCAATCTACTCTCATAAGAACTCTTAAAAAATTCCTTCTCCGTCTGCAACGCCAGGATTCGTTTCTGAATTTGATCGATCTCCCCGATTCCCTTCTCCTTTGTCAAACCGGACTTCTTAACCGAAGGTGCAGACGGTTTCAACGCCTTCTTCTCTTGCACTTTCTTCTTAGTACTAGTTATGAACTTCAATTCTTTAACAGGTACCTTAGGAGCCTTTGGGACTTTGCCTGTGTTATCAGAAGACTTTTTCGGGAACCTCGGCTCGCAATCGAAGTCGTCGTCGTCATCCAAGCCTCGGACTTGATCAGGACAAATGGAAGCAATGGTGTTGTTGGCATTCTGTAGCTCGGTTGATAAGTGATCGTATCTTTCAGCCAAGGCACGGTAAGCTCGGAAAAATTCTTCGACGAAACTTATTATATCGGGTCTCTTTCTGTAGTACATTTCCGCTTTCTGGATAAAGGAGTCTCCATCTTCTTGGATGAGTTTAAGTACTGCAGTTACCTTTTCCTCCATATCTACAAATTTTCCCAGTTTTCCAAATCATACAGATAAAACTCACCCTAATTTTATACCTTCATAATCAAGAGAAAAAAACACAGAAATTCTTATGAAGTCAAGATCAATATATGTATTATTACCTTGAAGGTTTTGTTCCATCCATTTTGATTGCTTTGTTCTGATATGGCTAGCCATCCACCATGAGTAGGCATTGCTAGCAGCTCTTTGCAACATCTTTGCTTCCCTTTTTTAAGAACAAAACCAGTAAAGCAGCTTGCAGAGGAAAGTTTTAGTTTTTAAGGTAAATTAAGAGTCTTCCCAAGAAGCATTCAAAAAACTCTCTAACTTCCAATAAAATAAAGAGGACATGGGAAAGCTAATCAAGATAGAAAGAAGAGAAAAAAATGGGGGAAAAGTAAGACAAACTTTTCTTAGTTTTGAAAGTCACTAAATCTGAAAACAATGAAATTGGTTGCTGTTGCTTTTGCTTTCATTTGCATTTGTTATGGAATCGTGGAAGGGAGCAAACCTCGCCCGATTTAAAGGATTAATAACTCAAAATTCGTACCATAATGTTTTGTGGGACGAAATAAATGATGATAATAACTATTTTTAATGAGTTCAGTGATTGAAAACACCCTCAAGCTTATCTAAAAGCTTCTTGGTCCATTTTAGATGTTACATTTAAATCTCGTCAGTCATATATTTATTTTAAAAATTTTATACAAAATTTAACCGTAAAATATCTATTTATTAATAAAATAATATAGTATTTAAAGTCCGTAGAATATACATAATAGTATAAAAAATCATATGACTAAAGTGTTATATAAAATATCATTATATCATATATATACCTGAAGTAATATATAATTACATAATCAATAATAAAATTATTTCATGTCAAAAAAAATAATCGAATGACAAATATAAGAACAAAAGCAAAAATTGTTGATCCTTCAAATGTCAAATACAAAGCATATAATCAGTAGTATCTGAAAAAGTAAAAATTAGAAATGTGTAGGTTCTCCATAATCTTACACCCACATGTACGTTCAATAAGAATCTACAGTAAAGATTTATCCTCAACACAGAGCAAAGATACCTGTGGTAAAGACTTCCTCGTTTAACAGTCATCCCCGAGACAGTAGTTATAACTATGCATGTATTTTAGAAAAAAATTACAGTCTAATTTATTAAAAATATGAAATCGTTTTGTTAATTCAATAATACGCATACAATCACAGGAATAATAATAACAAAAAATCATACTTTCAATAATATGTATTTTAAATCATACCTGTTTCCGTCGACCTCCATCACATACTAAACATCATCACAACCACCTCATAAACAACAACCTTGATCTCCTCCTCAAACGTAGTCATGGTAACGCCCATGATGACATCTATTATTTCTCTCAGCTTTCGACTGAGAAAGGTCAAAACTTTTCGGTAAAACACAACATTCACTTACCCTTTTTCGAGAATTGTTTGTATGCTTCTGACGTTTATTGACCTTGTAATGGGTTGTTGTGTTTACGTGAAAATGATAGGGTTGCCCTTTGGAACACATCAACCAGAGAGTTCAAAACCCTTCTTGAATCCTCAGTCCAACGCCCTCTTAATCTGGATTTGGGTATGATCCTCAAACTAATGACTATAAAATTGTAAGATTTGTTGCTAAGATGATGAATATGAATCGAAGATACAAGTCGAGTTATACCCGTTTAAAAGCGATTCATGGACAGAAATTGTAGTTCCTTATGAGGGTCCTCATGGCGATGCTGTGTTTAATACATACGCAAATGAATTTTATTATTGGCAGGCACTGGGGGATTCTGATGAGCTTGTTCTTGCATTTTATATGGTTGATGAAAAGTTTTCAACTTTACCTATGCCTAAATTTGGCGTGTCTTAACCCAATACTATTGGGAACTTTTGGACTTCAATGGATTGTTTGGTGCTATTGTTTACCCAAGTAAAAGAACTCAGAAATCTTTTAATTTATGGTTATGAATGGATGTTGGAGTAAACAACACAGTATTGAATCTGTTCCTGGAGTTGAGAGGCCTTTGGGGTTTTGGAAAGATGGTGAATTGTTTCTTGCAAGCTCAGATCATGAATTAGAGCTATTTGACCCCTCCACACAAATTATTGTTTATGTTGAGAACTTCGTTCCATTCAATGAAAGATCAGAGTATGATGAACGTATAATACGTGTGCAGCAAATTCATATTGAAGACAATGATGATAGGACTTGATGGGATTCTCTATTTGTGTTGAGTATTTTGTTTGTTTTAGTGCTTTTGCCAAATTTGTGCCTATAAAACCGCCAACTTGTTTATTCTAATCTGCATTTGATTATTTGCAGGTGTTAGATATGGAGCAGTTTTCAAACTTGAATTGTACTTCGGAGAGCTCCATGTCTCCAATAATAGAATGTAATTTGAAGTTGAATATAGGAAGTATTAGTATTGTTTCTGTTATGGTCATGTCTTATTATATATCTGCAAAGCCATTGTTATCAACCCAACTGTTAAGGATTACTACACATATATAACGATGTTCCTTTGTGTGTTCTTATAGTGAGTTTAGCACGTTGCAGTGGTCAGGTTGTTCGGACTTGGGATGTGTGGGATACGGACATTCTATAGCTGTTGACTTGAGAGATTGCTGATCATCCTTACACCGTCTCGTTGGTCTTGCTGAAATGAGAGACGGGGTAAAGGCATAGTATCATGCATCACACGGGAAAATAACCATATTTTCACTTGTGGTCTGCGAATTTTACCAAATCTTGCACAGGTGGAACAACTGGTTTTGGATGAAAAAAAGGTTTGGATGTTCTCATTTTTCTGAAGGAAAAAAAATCATTATTTAACTTTGGGTAAATTATATCATTCATCACTAAACTATCTTCTTACTCTTATTTTGGTTGCTTAAGTTTAAATTTTTTTAATGTAATCATCGAATTTCGATTGGTTTCTGTTTTAGTCACTCTACCGTTTAAACTACAAATTTGTGATTACATGGATTATTTTAATATTTTTACTATGATGTGGCATTTTTATTAATATTTAATGTGATATCATAACGTCATTAACTATTTAATGATGTTGTGACCAAAACAAGAACAATTTAAAACTTATGTGATTAAATTTATCTTCAAAATTTTCCCTTTTCTCTGAACTTCAATTAACCAAGGGATTGCTTACATTCTGATGCTTGTGGCATTGGTGCTCACATATCTCATCCACCCTAAAGTGAAACGATGTCTTCATTTTATGGAAGTCGAAGTCTTCTTTTTTTACCGATGACAATAATGTGACAGATCATCGAAAAAGAATCCAAAGAGAACAAAATACTTTGAGAATGTTTCGATTAAAGGGTTGGATTGGTGTTCGAAATATAAATAGGTTGAATCTATGGCTTGATAATTTGAGAAAGTTTTTTGAAAACTTTATGCTGGTAGTTATTCAAGTAAATGAAAATGATACCTACAAATTTTATTTTTATACGTGGACGATGCTATTTGATGCTTTCTCAATCTGAATTTGGCTTAAAACTAGACAAAATAAATGAAATGGAAAGGTGATTATTTATTTGTGAAAATCATTATTTTGAAACAATATTTTATTAGGGAACATAAACAATATCGTCGGGATCGGCACAGGGTTCTCGAGCTACACCACTTGGGGAGTGTGGCCATACTGAATGAGGACAGTCTCGAATCTTATGCAAGAGCTCAGGAGGGGTTTGCTTCTCATAGCACAAATGAATCTCCAATAATTGTATTGTTCCTGTTCTGTTTTTGTTACAAGAAATCTCAGCTTCGAAATGTACATTAGTTCGAACCATCTTGAAAATTTCTCGTACATGATATGAATGTCTACTTTGAAATCCGAAATCTGAATATAACAAAAATTAATATTAATTCACAGCTTATATAATAATAAAAATAGAAAAAAATAAAGATTTTGATTAATGAAATATATAAGCTAATAATAATGAAGTATAATGGAGATTTAATCACCAGGATTTGGTAAGTTTTGTGTAAGCTTCAAACCGGACTCAAAGTATTTGAGAGGATCAATAGGGTAAGCAGAGCATTTTCCAATGAGCATCCCATCCCATTCACGTCCCCAAAATACCTAGTTTGCTTTTGAGTTTTGGGGATTCTTCAAATCTGGCCATGTAGAATTCAAACTTTGAGAAATCGGGTTGAGATATTGTTTTCAAATCAAGAAAAAAAATAAGTTAGCTAAAAAAAGAGAATAATAATTTTAAATAATTAAAAATAAATTCAAAAGTTTTGATTAGATGATAGGAGCATACATAGATGTGTCCACGAAGAGAGGAGTTATGACTGGTACATTGAGGAAATCGACTGTACGAATCAATTGGTTGATAATTTATGTCTTGAGGTCATACATCGTGAATCGTAAAAATATTATTATAAGATTGCGAGAAAAAATTTATAAATATCATATTTCTAGAACTGCAACAACTACGTGGCTACTGCAAACTAAGCTTGTAAACATCCACCAGATTTCTTGAAGCAAAAACACAAATCAACATTGTAAAAAAACAAAAAGTTTAGAAAACATTCTTATAACAATTGGAATAATCTCGCTTCCAATTTGTTTCTCCATACAAGGGAATGACACCCCTTTATATAGGGTTTTCATGATAGAGTATCATATTTTCGGGTATTTGAAATGTCGAATACTTGAAACATCAAATGTTTGATATTTTCGTCTACTAAAATATCAGCCGTGTCTCGGCTTGTTAAGTTTGAGTGCTTACAAGTTGGATATCCGTACAACTCGGTTATCTATATTTTGGTGTCACAAGTATTCGGTTTATATTTATTTATTTTTTTTTAAATTATATTATTTTAAAAATCAAGTAGAAAAATTTTAAATTTAGAATTCTATAATATATAATCACACATTAAATTTAAAAATTGAAATTGCATAATCAAAAATATTAAAAATATTAAAAATATATATAATAAAAGAAATACAATTAAATTTAGAATATTTGGAAGTTAAAAGAAATAATTTAGAATTTTAAGGTGAAATAACTTAAGAAATTACAATTTTAGAATGTTTTAAGAAATTAAAATTTTAGAATGTTATAGTGAAATAATTTAAGAAATTAAAGCCTGGTAAATTTTAACATTAAACCTATTAACATTTTAAAACCTAATTAATTTTAAACCATAATAAAAAAATCCAAATCAATTAAAGAAAACATAAACTCTAAAATTATTTGGAAAGAACAAAACTCTTCTCAAATATAAACTCAATTAAT